TTTCCCTAAACAGTGGCAGTTACAAGCCCAAATCTATTCCTTGTTCTCTTTCCCATATTCCATTCACTTTCTCAGACTTAAGTCTAAATTTCAACCTTTCAAATCAGTTTCAGAAGTCAGAATTTACAGTAACATTGGAACTGTATAAAATGTAAGGTTGTTTTGTTGACAGAAGAGATTATACATTTGGTAAAAGGGAAGCTACTTCAAAAGCTATTTCAGCTCTTCCATAAACACCACCCATTAGCTAAAAGCATTTGAAGTAAAATGTGAGGTATCTGTAACCAAAGGAGCTGTAATATTTAGCACCAGCAAGGGCGAAAGGTCACATTTCAATATTACAGGCTCTTTCCCACCAGCTCCTTTCAAATCTGCTGCATCGCTGAAGCAAGTAAGCACTTTGTACTGATTTACTGCACACCAAGTGCGCAAAGGCTGTAACTTCTGATCCACTTGAAGAGACCTGGGGGAAAGGGGGGAGGTGGCTGGAAGGTAACTCACATCATGAATCAGCAGCAAACTGCAGTTACATTTTCTAACGCTGCCGTACCTAACACCAGCTCAGTCAGGTAAGAGGGGGTTGGTTTTTAAGTTGGTGGATTGACAGAATTTTGCAAGCACAAACTAAAGCCCATGCTATGACTTTTGTAGGTGGTAGGGTTGATTTTGTGGGGGGTTTAGTTTTTTATTGGGGGGGGTGTCTTTGGAGGTATGGGAAAAGAATGGGGTTAAGGTTTCACAAATCCTCTGCAGAACGAGGTTAGTGTCAAGACAAAACAATGTCATTTATTAGTGCATAGGGGTAGCTGAGCTTATCACAATAAATGCATTAAAAAACCCAAATCCTGTGTCTATCTCAAACGACCTGTGAAAGCACTTTCACAGGTGTATCACAGTATTTGCACAATTTTACCTTGACAAGCCTTCTTTCAGACTTTTTCATCTATGATTCTATGATCTGTACTTTAATTAAGAGCATTACAGATTGTCCTAATGTGTCACAATGCCTGAATTCCATGACATGCCTCAAACCCCAATATATCTGTCAAAATACAAAATTAGTGACTCTAGCATTGATGGACGTAGTAATACACTGAGATTTATAACTCTCCATTTGCCCATTCCCAACAACACTTTCAGTATGGGAACACATGAAAATGTTTACAGTTATTGGCATTCCCTCATCTGAAATATCTGTGGTAAAACACTATTTGAGATGCTGCTCGGTTTCACAGCCATGGCTGAGCTGAAGTACGTACCTGAAAGCAATTCAGCCACTTTGCTGCATACAACAAACACAGTGTATCATCACCAGAATGACAAGATATACTCTTCAAATACAAGCTCTCTGTGAATTTAAATCTGCTGGGGTTTTTAGTGAGTAAAAATTAATTTTAAATTGGTCCTTTAATTGACAACTTTACATTACTGTTTCCTTCCACAGTTTAATGGGACAACTGCATGTCACTTTCTTTGAACAATTTTAACAGTGAAAACACATGGGCTCCATCTTCCCCCTACAGTTAGGCCTCATTGATATTGCAGGGACTAGTTATTGCTCACAACTTATGCTTATTATGGCTTACTTAATAGTCGTTTTACAATTACTCTTCACAGCTGACCGTTCTATTTGAGGCCAGCCCAACAAATACCATTCTGCTCCAGCAAAGACAAAGCAGCACTGTCACCTTTCAGAATGGCTGTCGGTCCTTCATCCTCTCTTCAGGAGCAACACAAAGGACAACCACTGTCTTTGAACTAGAACAGTTCACTCTCAATGATGGCAAAACCAACTGTCCTCTGTAAATGCGCTCATTGCTTTGTGAGTTTTCTCCATGGAAAATTTAAAGCCTCACTCTCTGCTGACAACTAAGCTTTCAGCCATCAAACAACACAGAACGACAAAACAGTAACTTTTCCTGGGCAAACCTCGTAAATAAGCTACTCAAGCACGTGATTTTATTCTATAACACTGAGCTTCCCTCTCTGGTTCAATATATAATTAGAACTTCATATATTCTGAACTGCCTCTGTCTATTTTGAATACCAAATGAACAGTAAATGCCTTTTTCTTTTTTTCTGGCTATAGTAGAAATCTGTTCTCGACACAGCTCTTCAAATCACAGTATTATCCTGGAAAGTCCCCAGAAAAATTTATAGTATGTCAGAATCTAGTCACAAAGATGTGGCTGCAGGTCACTTCACCATACCTGAGTTCCTGTTAGATTACCTAGCTGGGGCTCAGCAGCAGAATAGAGCCAGGGAGTTAAACTGAATTTGCAGAGCAATTTACGGGGAGTACGGGAAAGTTCATTAAGTGAACTGAGCTAACTGGATTGGCAGTGATTGAAAGAAACCTCTAATCCCACACAGCCACATTTGTAAATTTATTTCTGGAAAGCAAGGCATCTCAGAGACTTCAAATCTGGAAGAGTGCATTTACAAAATGAAACCATCACAATCCTGGTTACAACAGAACTAAGATGGATGTAATTGGATTTAGGAGACATTTTGGTTCACATGCACACACTGAGCTCCAAAGGAACACAGAGAGCTGCTCTCCCCTCACCCTCTCAGTATTAACTGTTCTTTAATACATTTTCATTGCAACCATGGGAATAATTCTAAACCAATTATAACTTTCACGTGAACATTCAAATGAATTTCTTATTGTAGTCCAACGGAGCTGAAAGTAACAAAGCATCTTATAAGCAGCCTTATTGTTTATCCAGTTCACAGGCTCATGATTTTAGTTTACCTTCTCTGTGCAACACTTGCCATTCCCCAGCAATCCAAGACTTCCTGGATGCATACAGGATAGTGTATCGTGTAACAACTGTTTCAGGACCATCAGGTGGCTTCCAGGAAACCAAAGCAGTATTATCCTCTATCAAAGTCACCTTCACTCCTACTGGAGGGCCAGATGGTGCTGTGAGAACAGTAACACAATGCTATTAGGCTAACTTAATTGACATGCAATTAAATTGCTCAGAAAGAAACTGATGTGCAGACCTAATGGCTACTGCTACATCCCAGATAAACAACATATAAACAACCAGATGCTGCTCCTCAAGAGAAACCCTCCTGTTAATTCTGATGTGATCTATAGCTCAGATTCTGTGAAAGCAAATTTAGTATTTTTCCTTCAACTGCAGAAGGAAACCGTTACTAACAGAAAACCCCACATCATCACCCTATGAACAGGTACATCCAAACACTGCAGTGCTGAGAACATGGAACTCCAGTTTTTGACTTTCACTGACCAAGCTGGCAGAACAGCAAACCAGCAGTGAGGGCAGTAGATGTGTAATATGTTACAGTTTCTGAAAGTCTGGCTTTTAAAATAGGTTTTCAGAATGCCTATGAACCAGTCATGCCTCTTCAATACATATTTTAAAGTTTTGATTCAAGTTATTTCCATTCAGCAGTTGCTAATTTTATATCAAAATCATTGCTGATTTTAGGTAAGTTTTGAAAAATAATTCCCCAGTTCCAAAAGCAGGGTTTTCCTGACAGCATTTTTCTGTCTCTCACCAAGAAGAGCAGTATCTGTATCTCAGAGGAAAGCATTTCTCTCTCCTACAGACAGCTTGAAATTAATAAGTAATTTTTCATGCCATTTGGTTTCCTGAGCTTTCTTTTTAGAGCTATGTGCTCCTCTGCTAGTGCCTTACCTTCGGGAAGGGTAGTATGGTAGACTACTGGACTCCAGGGGCTGGAGAGCTGGTCCACATGGAGCCGAACTGCAAATTCATACATGGTTTTTGGCTCAAGACCTTGAACTAACATGTGAGTCTCTGACCTGTACAGATGAAGGAATAAAATAAATTTAACTGCAGCAGTTGACTTCAAGGTCTCAAACTCAAATGGTTTCTCTTAGTCACTGTGAGTAGATGCACACTGTCCGTTCCACACAAGACAAAGCAGTGCAAGTCCAGACACATGGTCCATCTGCACTGTCTACCTGAAACTGTAATTGTACTAACCTGGAACTCTCTGGCAGATACTCTGTCTGCTGTCAGCTGACTTGAGATCGAGTTCTGATAAAAGCTGATGCACAAGCAAGTGCAAAAATATTACTGGCCAGAACACCAGTAAGCATCCCAAACTCAGCTCTTCCTGTGTTTGTCCATAGGACACTATGCTTCAAGCTGGAGTAACACTTGCACTACAACCAGCACCACAAGTTGAAAAGGCACATGATGCTGGCTCCATCAGCTATTCCTGGATCTGCTTCTCAGTTTACAGAACAGACAGTGTCTGTGTGCAACTTCCCCTTCCACTTATAGCTTCTATCACCTCATGTTTTGGGGATCTCTGTAGAATATAAATGATCCCTACACATCTTGTAGTCATATTTGGTAATCTATTAATTGTAAAAGTGATTATATTAACTGTAATATTGCAGTTTACTATCTGACCACAAAGTCAGTTGTAGACATTATGCTTTATTCTGACTCTGGGGGTGGGATACACCAGGGTGGTAATACCCAGTTGGAGATTAGATCTCAATTTAAAATGGTGTTACTCTGGAGATATTGCTTTATTAAGTCTCACTTAGTATTTTCATCTTTCCTACTGCAAAGGCAGTCACCAATATTTGCAATAGCCTCATCCTATCACAAAAAGCAGCATTCATTGCTATGCTCCATATTGCACACTAAGAATTTTTCATGGTGATTATACTGTGTCAAATCGTTAAGTCAGGAGTTATACAGCAGGGGATGTGCTTTTTGAAGAGAAAACCATCGACATTAGGATGGAAACTAACTTCTAGGACAGCGTTTTTCCTATTCAGAAGGCTTGAGTAAACCCATGTATTGAGGGAGCTACACGCAAATGGATTCCCTCAACAGCACCATGGCCCCCATCACAGGCAGTCACAATGGAGCAGTGTGTTCTGCGCCCACACCACCTGAGCAGAGATGAACACTAGGCCTAGGCAGAATTTGTTCCCTTTTCTGCCATTCTATGGCTCATGTGTTGCTTCTCTGAAGGAGCTCTAGTTCCTGCTCAGCTTTCTCCTGGCAGGGTGCCGCACGCTCAGAAACGTGGCATTCCCACAATAACATGCTCAAGCCCTCAAAACTCAGAAATTCTCATTTCCAGTCTTAAAATCAGACACTGGATGAAGTCACTTTGCCCAGACAAGCTACCTATAGTTATTCTCTTTTGTTTGGTTGAAAAAGAGCTTAAAACTAAATTCAACTTAGCTAACAGCCATTCGAGAGCTTGTCCAGGGATCCATCACAAGGATCACAGGTAGAGAATGGAGCTGTTCTATGAACACATCTTAAAGAACTCAAGAAACAGAACTAGCAGCAAAACACACAGTCCTCTAAGGGAGATATAAGTTGTTACAGTAAAAGGCAACTAAGAGAGGGCAGGAAGAGTAGAATCTGAGTGGAAAGGATGTGGAAATGGGAAACCAAGACTCATTAGCAGTGCTGCACTTACGTTTGAAGGTAGAGAACCAGAGAAGCATTCTGCAGCCCTACTGGGTTGCAGCGGATCGTGTAGTTAATGACTTGTGCAGAGGTAAAGGCAGGTTTTCCCCAGTGGAGGTAGATAGAAGATGAAGTGTTAGCTTTGGCATAGAGGTGGTGGGGAGGTGGCGGTGGTGGCACCATGCGATCACGGACAGCTGTTCAGAACAAAAAGAAGCATTAATTATGTATTGAACTGTATACAGATAGTGGTATGATTAAGAGACAGGCCTGAGCTCACAGGTTTAGATTCAGATCTGCCCCTACCCAGCATTATCTGGTATTCAGACCCAGGAATCTGGTTCAAGCTCCCAACCCATATCACATATTCTGTAGTCCCACTTGTTTAGTCAAGACCAAAGCCAAAACCATAAACAGAGACAAAGGAGAGAGATAAAACTCTCATAAGACACATGATATGTCACTGGTTAGATGATGCAGGCAATCTAGTAGGGGAGGAAAATGTTTGGTAGCTATCTTGTTTCCTCAGCTACAGTTCATGAACACAGGAGACTGTCTCAGTTGCAGGATGACTAGGATAGTACTTGTCACAGATACAATCTTTCTGGTTCTCTGTTTTACACTGAATTAATTGATTATTTATAAGTTAAAAACACAGAGCTGCTGGGACCTTGAAACAGCTCAGCTCCTAATAAATTCTTCATGCACCTGTAACACTTACAGACACATCCTGGAGTGCTGACTGTTTGGTCTGCCTGATAACCTTCTTCCATACTGTTATATGCCAGCAGCCTTACATGATACTTTCTTCTAGGATCTATACAAAGAGAAAAGAAATAATGAGACTCAAGTAAAAAATAAGGCTTTTCAGGCTTCAATAGGTAGTCAGGTAACTTGATTCTCCTGAAGTTTGATTCAAAACTTGTCTGCTACAGTCAGCAGCCTGATGAGCAGGCCGGATGCCCCGAAGCCTGTCTTTTCTCCAGCCCTGTGAATTTCCCTGAATCTTTTCCCAGAATCAGTCACTATTTCCCAGTCTTGCTTCTGATAGCCTGAAACAGAAGTTTGCAACGGAAATCAGTGGGATTAGGATAAATACCACGTTTCTATCTGTAACAAAATCACACCTTCACAGCTATAGAGTTAGATTTAATAGTAGGATTCAGCATATTGAAAGTACTTTCAATCTATGGTAAAGATTTGTCAAAATAAACAGCACGAGGCCCACAGAAACTAACATTTATTTCTGGATAAGCAGGCTGTAATGAAGCAGGGCAATCAAAGCAAAGGCAGGAAGACAGGACCCAGCAAAGAATGGGAAATGTTTTTGTTGCAGGTTCCAAGAGGAGATGTACTGTGAAACAACAGTGATTGTTAACAGTGCCTTTGACTAACAAGTTCCGCTTCTACGTGTTTTCTTGAAAGCTGGTTCTGGCATTCTTAGGAGGTCACTGTCCTAGCTTGAAGGGTGTCTCTATTTCCCCTTCTCTGGCCACATCTGTGGATGGCCATATTGCAGTTTGCTGCTTCCCTCCATTCTGTTAATGATACACTGGCCTTGATCCAAGTGAAAAATTACTACAGAGAAATGAGATCAAAAGGGGCCTTGAGCCTTCTGTAAGTGGGGCTGGCACAGGGGGTAGGAGTGCAAACCCCCGGGATGGCTGCACTGCTTCTCTGCACCATACTCCCTTGTGCTAGTATTTGCAACAAATCCCTCCTATACAATGATGATTTGCAAGGTATCTACTATAGGTATAGGTACCCTCCTATACAATGATGATTTGCATTTGCTATTAGTATGTACAAGCTCTTCTGGGCCCAGTTAAACTTCACCCCAGCACCAATGCAGGCATTAGGACATTCCTCTATTGTCATGAGCCTATTTCCTTCTATTAAGACTTTCAGAAGGTTTAGATATTATATAACTGTGCTGATCTTGTTTATTTTTCTTTCCTTGCCCTAAACCACCACAATATTATCCCTTCTCAAAGCAAGCTCTGCTCTTTCTTTCTCATTTTAGCTGAGATTTGACAAAGCCTCTCGCATGAAATAAACAGGAACACAAATCCCTGACACTTCTCACCACAAATAGGACTTTTGTTCACATCGGATCCTTGGCTCCCTCTGCAGTCTCTGCCTCAGCAATACAATCTCAGCAGGTCTTGAGCTGAGGTTTCCATAAGGACAGCACAGTAATTTCATAATAATGCATTTTATAAAATCTTTTCATATTCGTTTGAAATAGACAATATTTGTGTGCTGTAGTTACCGACAGCAGCTGTAAATGAACTATTCCTAAGCAGAGATTGCATTTCTATGTATGTTTATTTTTAAAAGACTGTTTTACAAAAATCTAAACATAGCTGTAAAAGAAAAGGGGCTTTTAAGTGCAGATTAGAGTATTTCTTCAATGTGTTTAACACTAGGGGTAGAATAGGCAAGAGGAGCCCATTCCCATTTTTCAAATAGACTTTAACTTCATGAGAAGACAATATAAATAACAAAATGTCCAAAAATTTGTGATTTTGAACTAGAGTAAAATTCTCATTTGCTTTGAAGTTCTTTTTTTCACTTCACACTTTCACTTTAACAACAGGTGACATCAGTTGTTCCCAGCCAACAAACTACAGAGAATAGGAGATGGACACAAACACACAAAATAACCTTAAGCATGTGATAAAAGAAAATATGGAATTTTAATACTGAAAAATCAGAAAAACAGTAAGTAAATGATATGTAAACCACTGCAATCTCTTAAAAATTTGTAAAATCAAAAGACATATGAAGGGAAGGAAACACTGAGCCCAAGCAGAAAGATAACTCACTTTGAAAGTACTAAGTGGTTTGAACTGAATACACTAAACTCAAGTTACGGGGACTTGTTGAGACAAATTACAGCATGTATCTCAGCAAAGCAGAAATACACATCTTCCCGGGCTTCCTAACCTGTGCTAGGAGTGCAGCCATGTAAAGTGCAACTGAAGTACTCAAAAACAAAGCAAAGATTTTAAAAAGAGGTCATCAAGACATCTTTAAGATCCCATTAGGATTCCACTTTAGAAGTTGCTTTAGTAATCGATTAGTGATTTAGTAATCGATTCTCCCATCCATTCTCAGAAAAAATGGGAATTTGGGTACTATTTAGCAGACTCTTGACCAGATTCCACCTTCCAGGTGGCACCCAGCCAGCCAAGTGTCACCGTCGACCTTTCCAAGTGCCTGCAGAAGAGACCCCCGCTGCATTTCCGCAGGGCCCAGGATGACAGACCCCACAATTCATCATCCTGCCGAGCACCTTCAAAAACTCTCTGCCCTTTGAAAGTGGTCACCCAGAACTGATCATCTTCACTGTGAAATGAAGAATAGCTGAGGTCTAGTGCCCCGCTGGGCTGAATGAGGTGCCTGTGAGGTCTGTTTATCCTCATTGCTGCCTTTTTTTTTTTCAAACTGAATTCCTCATTAACACTTCACTGGGAGGAGAGGAACGATGGGATGTGGAAGGAAGGTAAAAACGTCACTCCCACCACAAAAATTCAAATGTCTTGGAGAAAAGCATGTTTTTTAAATCTTGTTAAGTGTCTTTTATGCTCTACATGTAGGAAAAGTACAATGTTGAATACCATTCATCTTACTTTTGTGTACTGCAAGAAGTTTCAAAAAGAACTATCATTACATGAAGAACCTGTTTAAAAGAATTAAGTCTCTCAACTAGTCTCTACCACATAAAACTCAAGGTTCTTACCACTTCAAGACATTGTGGTTCACTTGGTAGCAAGACTAGTTCAATCCAAAAGAAATGACAGAATTTTTAAGCTGTCACATATTACTGCTTTAACGGCTGAAAAACCATCTGCTGGTATCTGTAATTGCAACAGCGACTGAGAAGGGCTGCATTATGTGCTGGCCTAGAAAAGCCTAAATGTCACAGTAATGTAAAAAGGACAACATAAAAGAATTTTAAAGGCAGTGTACTGAGCAGCAGAAGAATTTGATGTAAAACTTGCTTCTCAGATTACAGGTATAATATTAGTGAAGACCAGTGCAAAGTACCTGCTTGAGAGGCTGTTCCATTTTGATCACAGCTCCACCACATGCAAAACAAGACAGCCAATAGCCAAAGGTCTACCTCCAGTTCCAACAGATACTTGTACACTATTTGTTTTATGAAATAGTGGAAAATACATTTTTGTCTGAATTAGCCTCTGTTTAGAATATTTTTAACTATTGTTAGTTTCATTTAAAGGCTTTTGAGATGGTTTACTCCTCAACGGCAATCACAATGCAAACTCAGCATAAACACTTTGATCTAGCAGTTCATCAGCTGTATCGAAGTCAGACATACTCTGAGAAAACAAACTTCAGAAGCTTTCTTATCTTTAACCAGCATAGGTGTCCTGAATAGTTTACACATAAATCACTGATAAAAGATTGGGCATAGCATGGCCACCTGGGGGGCCGACAGTCTCAAATTTAGCGTATGCCATCCATGCACATTACACAGCAACAGGAGGCTGAGGAGGCTCAGAACACAGGGAAGCAGATATTGAGGCCATCAGTCATGCTCATAACACACCCAGGAGTAACACATCTTCCCACAGAAGATCACTTCTATTCAGAAACAAACTATGTGCAGTCCTTTCATCACATCCGATTTTGACTCACCCATCCAACACATAAATTTGGCTTAAGTAAAAAAACCTCACAGCAACATTTCACCCCTGCATTTCCAAAACTTCTCTGAACAGCTGGTAACACTGAGTCATTTCAACTAATTCTCTTGCAATTGCCAGCAGTTGTGTAGTGATTGAAGGCTTGTTCCCAGGCCTAAGGTGAACAGGAAGAATTCTGTAGCCTGTTTACCAACTGGCTGAATTTTTTAAACTTAATTTCTTTCTGTTGAACGTGGTTTGTTTTGTTTGGGGGTTTTTTAGTGCTGCTGGCATTGGGCTGTTATAAAATAAAGTGTCACAGCACCTACAGCTTTTAAAAGGCATTTTTATTGTTATTACTTAAATCAGCTGGTGGAAAGGATGCAAAAACTACAGTGTACAAATCAAGAGGCTGGCACTGACACTGATATAAACGTGCTAGAGCTAATTCATCAGTTCTATTACACGAGTGCCTCTGGAGCACACAGAGGCTGTACCAAAAGACATTGTAGCTGGGTGTGATAAGCTGGGAGAGCTTCACGCAGGACAATGCAGCTACCTCATGCACCCTTTTTATATAACCCAAACCTCTCAGGATTAAACACACATAAATAATAGTTCAACCAGAGGCACAAATTTCACCTCTGTTAATAACACTCCTATAGAATAAGAGCAGGAAAAAGCTAAATAACCTTTATATTGATTCATTTCAAATTATCAAAATAGATACTGTCCCAAAAATCACCGGTTTACAATTTATGTAGGAACAGCCTCATTTTCCTATGGCAGTTTTTGTAGGTGGGTCACTGCTCCCTGGTGATACTCCTCTGGAATCCCATATCCTGTCATTCACTCTCCCATGAAAATCCGCAGTGAGCCCTACAGATTCAACCCACGTGGGTCTTTCAGCAGCAGGACACACGAGGGAGCCTTCTCTTTTGCAAGTCTATGAATAGGTTCTACACCTTATAGTAGAACTATGGCAAAGCTAAATACTGCACATATAAGCAAAAAAAATAAGTTGAACTATCATTTAAAACACGGACTGTAACTTGGAAAAAACATTAAGCATTACATGAGCTGAAGTTTGGCAAGAATTCAGATGACAATGATTTACTCGTGTATTGTACTGTCGTACTGCATCCCTGAAGTATAATCTTAGAGA